CAACAGTGCGCTCGACCCACCCGACTGGACAGACGCCGTTCCGCGGGAGAAGCTGGAGAACATGAGCGTGGAATATACCCATCTACTTACTAGCCAACTCGAGAGCCAACGAGCCTACTTCGAAGAGGTAGTCGAGCGTGCCGTGGACAAAGCATCTCAAGCCAGTGCCGCTGCCTCTTCCGCGCAGGACGCAGTCGAGAAAGCTACCGCCAGCTTGAAGAGCCTACAGGCACAATATGATACCCTTACTAGCGAGATCATCCCCGGGCTGGAGCGCGATAAGGCGCGGGCCGAGAAGCGCGCGGAGAAGTTCGAGACGATGACGCGCAAGATGGAGAAAGAGTGGCGAGAAGAGAAGACGATGAATGAGAATCTCATTGAACGGGTTGAGCTTCTGAAGTCCGAGGTGGAAAGTCTGAAGCTTGCGAATGCGGATTTGACGGAGCAGAACCGGGATCTCACTTTCTTCATTAGCGGGTCGGCGCGACTGCAGGATCAGGGCGATGATGTGGTGCAGGGGACAGTCAGTGTTCCTGAACCGGAGAAGCCGAAGAAGAAGGGGAAGGGGAGGAAGAAATGATCGAGGGGGATTTATCCTAGGCTCGCCGGTTCGAGTCGATGGATCAACATGCAGCAGGTCTATTGATACAACACAATCCACGTATATCACTACATTAGTATAACAGGACCAATGCAATAAAGAAGCTAATGCAATGAAACACCTATCTTATGCTATGACAGTAACTTAAGCACTGCATCTATAGATACATATCGTACACCACCCACCTAGTAATATACAATCCCACCCCTCCTCAACAACTTACTACTACGTAGTAAGATCACTCCCCCTTCCTAACCGCCCAAAAATAATTCCCCCAACTCTCCGACCCCTTCACCAACTTCCAACCCAACCCAGGAAAATACACCACGCCTTCACACCTCCACCTGGCCCCCTCCAACGCCTCACTACCCCCCCTCACAGCCCTCCCATCCACCCCCCTCATCAACCCCTCCTGCACCCACCCCTCCAACTCCCCGGGATTAACAAACTTCTTCCACTCATGCGTCCCCCTCGGCACCACCCCAATCGGCCACGGCGCCTCCGCCACAACCTGATTCACCAACCACGAGGGAAACGTCCTCGCGATCGTCGACCCAATCAGCCATCCACCAGGCTTCACCATAGACAGACAATTAGACAGGAAACTCTGCGGTGTGATCGACCCGGGGATATTATCGATATGCTCGAGCACTTCGAAGAGAGTCACAATGTCGAATTTCCTCTCCTCGGGCTGTAATGTGGGGATGAACTCCTCCAACGACGCATTCACGTACTTGAACCGCCCGCTATCCAGGTGCGCTTGCACGGAGGGATCGAGACGCGCGTGGTCCCGTGCGATCTTGATCAGCGTCGGGCTGGGGTCCAGCGCTGTGATGCTGGCGGCGCGGGTGCGGGTTAGAGTACCACTAGTAGCTTCTGATGATGCAGAAGGTGAAGAGGCTGGGATGATTGTGCGCGCTAGTGACTCGGCGAAGATGCCCCCTCCGCACCCGATGTCGAGATACCGCAGGTTGTTCCTGTTGTGGGCGTTGGTGGGGTCCATGGGTGAGGATGGCGTCGTGCTGCTTATTGGGGTCGATTCGGCGAGGCAGGAGGCGATGAAGTCGTGGCGGACGGGGTTCATGAGGTGGAGGACGCGCGAGGGACCTTGGGGATCCCACCATGATGTGGCGAGGGAGGAGAAGTGGGATAGTTCGTTGGCGGAGACGGAGGAGTGGTGTCGTGTTTGGGATTTGGGGAGGGTTGTGGTGGTGGTGGTGAGGGCGCGGAGGGTGCGGAGGAGGGTGGTGGTGGTGGTTGAGGTTGGTGTTGGGCGGAGCATTTTGGCGGTTGTATTTGGTGTAGTTGGATGTGAGTGTTTGTAGATTGTTTTTGTTCGGAGGTTTAAGGTGTGGTGTAGTTTGGGTGGTAGGGTGGACTGGTGGGTTGTGTTAGTTGGGATTGGTTGTAATTGCATGGAGTATACTGGTGTATACCTAGAGGAATGTGTTGGACGCGCCGCGCATCGTCAATGGCAGATCAATTTAGCTGAATTAGCTGCAGCGACTGGTCTGGCAGAATTGAAGCCGAAGTTGCGATATTATTGCGGATGCGGATGTTGTTCGGGGGAACAAACATGCCAAGGCTGAGTGTTTGTTTGGTCTGTCTGTCTGCCAGGCAGGCTGGCAGGTACTGCTTACTCACATTTAGTTTGTTTGGAGGCTGTTTGCTGTTTGCTCGCAAGAATGATCGCATCAATATGATAGATCAACACTCTTAATTAGATAGATACAAGGTTTTATGTCTGGAATACATCCTCGGCTGCTTTCCGTGCATCGTGGCGTGCTACATTGCCCATCCTCATATTGTCTATATCGCGCACAGCAAATTGAGGCGATCAGGCTACCAACTTCTACTGTTTGCCTGCTACGATGGCTTGCTTACTTACTTACCATAATACAATAACTGTACCTCCCACAAGGTACCAGTACAACATCCACCGCGTACAGTACTGCTTTACACGAGAGGGGGAAAAAAAAAAGGAAAAAATAAAAGTAGAAAAGAGAAATGTGGCACCTCAATATACACAGCACAGCAAAACTTATTGCTAATAGAATATTCCCTCACATTCTTTCTTCCTTTTCCTTTTTTTCTCCCCGTCACGAACAAACAACAAACGGGGAATCCACAAATCTCCAAACACAGAATAAAACTCCGTCGGTGAACCATGATTCCAGCCAACTAAATAAACTAATTCATTTCCCCACTCAAGGGAGTTGTTCTACGTGTCTTCTGGAAGCATACTCTATCCATACCGGTCGAGTTCTCGACGTTTTTACGGAGTCTACCTAATTTGTTAGTTGGTTAGTACGTGGTGTGGCTACTGGCTAGTCAGGGTTATGGGGCCGGCGGCCTGGGCCATTTTCCTTTTCCTTTTCCTTTCCTTTTCCTTTCTGTGCCGTACGTAGTTTAGTACAGTAGGTTGTAGCTTTATGGGTTCTGATTTTCAATTGGGGGGGATTTTTTTATTGCTCCAATTCAGAGAGAGGGATGGGATGGGACCCAGATGGTTGGTCGTCTTATTTTCTTTCCCTCTTGTTTTGTCTTGTCTTGTCTCGTCTCGTCTCTCTATCCCTTATTTTCTAATCTCCTGGTTTTGTTATATTGTATGTCTCCCTAACTGCCGTGTGGAATTGATACCTAGCTAGCTGAATAATAAATGACAATCCATGGGATAGTTAAATGGCATGGTACTTAGGTTCTTTCATTACGAAAGAGAAATGAATCATCAGCCGCCCTTTTCCTTCTGTGTAGATACTCTCGACTTACCCGGTGCGGTTTAAGCTATATCTCTTAATAAGTATAGTTTAAATATTAAGCACTACTCTGTTATTCCCTTACCCTAACAGACTAGTCAGCTTAGTCTCGGGTCGGGACTCGTTTTCATGATGCCGGTGAAGATCATGATGAGCGTGCACTATCTGCGTAGAGTTAAGACTGAGTTTCTCTGTCTGTCTGTCTTGCTTTCTGGGCGGGATTGATTCTTGGGGTTGTCGATCAGGAAATGGAACCGGCTAGAGAAGGGGAGGGAAGGGGGGAAGGTGGAAAATGGGGCATGGTGGTTGCCACTATGACTGCTATGGTATGGAGTAAAAACTCCTAGTTTGTATGGAGTAGCTCCATATTGGTGGTTAGTACTTCGTAGTAGTGTCGGGGAAAATAAGGATACGGTGATGGTGATGCTGATGATGCGGTGTAGTACAGAGCAGTATGTGTGTGACTGACGGAGTAAAGTAATACGAGTTATATACCGTGTTGGGATGGATGTTTTAGTGCTAAGAAGGTGAAAGTGGTGGTGGTTGGTAATCGGATGCTCTCCGTAAGTACCAAGTTCATCTTGTCTGCCATCTCTCTTCCCCTATCCGATGGAAGACGGAAGAAAAGGTCGAATTCGGCTGTGACGACAATGGTCGTACTGCAGCTGCAGCTCCTCAATCTACATAGTAAGTACACTAGTAGGGTAAAAGAGAAACAGTGGCGACAAAAAAAAAGACAATGGGATTCAAGAAACTTAACCTAAATCCACCCCATGCATCTGCGCGTTGACCCCGAGGCTGACGATGTGTGATTGTCCTGCATAGGCAAGCTTCCAGAAAAGAGGCAATCTGGCGCTAGAGCATCTGCTACTGCATCATCCGATGGCGATGCATCCATCCATCCATCCTTCGTCCCTCCTCAATCTGACGGACGGGCTTAGTCGAACCGTCTCTCAATTCATGCGGCGTGAACCAGACCACACCACCTGTGGAACTCTCCCCTATTCTGCTTTAGGCAACGTATCTCTCCCACCTAGGGCCCGTCCTCTCCGACAACTGAAACTCCAACGCGGCCACTCGCAATTAAGCCTAGCCCGTCGGTCCAATCGTATGTCCCGCATATGACGGTCCCTCCTCTTATTAAGTATTACTCAGTGAGATGATGCAGGCGGGCAGCTGGTTAGGACGTCATCATCGTCCGCTCTAGCCACACTTCTCCTCGGACCCCCGAGCGCCCCTGAATTTACGTGGGCCAAGTCAAGCCATTCCCAAGGCATAGTACTCCGTATTGTGTCTAAGAACAAGACACTACGGAGTACTACTCTATCTAATTCGCACTACCTAGTCCCCAAGGCCAACGTTCGGGAGAGAGCCTAGCCGTGGGGCCGAGGGAGAATCATTCAACACGGATCCGCGACCAACACGGACACCTGCAGGGATTCCGGGCAATGATGACGATGCCGATGGTCAGATAGGACGGAGCGCATAGCTGTCCTGTTCTTCGGGTCACCTAATCATTAGAAATTCACACTGACCACCAAGAAAGTCAATTCTGGGGTTCGCTAAGTAGTCTGCAGCTATCATGTATCTTTTATTTTTCTTTGGGAATTGCTGTATTATTCTGTTGGCTGTCGGAGCGCCGGCTATGTCCAAGTCCGTTGTGCGTTGTCGTGGGATCTTCCACTCAGGGATGTGACACGAGCGCCAGGAGGGAGAGACAAGGGCCACCATCGGCCCAAGGTGGGTGACGCAGCCGCAATGGCACATGGGGGGGACAGAAGGGGAGAGAAGAGGGGAAAAAAAGACGCTTTAGAAGCCTTCCATTGCCCTTCCGAGCTCTTTCTAGAAGGTCGCCGGAAGCCCGAAGTGGGCTTGGCAGCCATCATGACTGGTTCACACGAAGGATCCATACGATGTACGAGTCCGTTAGTGTGTGTAGCAGTGGGGTCAGTCTTCTGCAAGGGAGACCAACAAGGTCACAACCGAATAGGAAAAAGCAAGCAGGGGGAAAAAAAGAGAGTCGACAAGGGAAAAATACCAAGAGGGGTGGGAAAGGAAAGAAAGGAGGGAAGCCCTGACTGAAGCCCAGAGGCAGCACGGGTGGACTCTTCGTCGCAGCCTCCTCCGTCAGGTCCGTAGACTAGCAAGACTAGGCGACTAGTCGCAGGACTAGGGCATTTCTTGTAGGAACCGGGCGGGAAAAGACTCCACGGCCCATTACCGCCCTCCGTATCATCAAACCCTGCTTTTTTTTTTGCGCTTCAGAATTAGCCCCTTCTTGGTTGGTGTGCCCTTTGCTCTCTACACATTCGCTGCACCAGTCAGCATGTGGTCCAACGTGACATGCAGATCGGTGAGTGGAATGGGGAAGGAAGCATCCGACACGACGAGGAAGACCTGCCCCTGCAGCCGGATGGGAGGGAAGAGGAGACACAGGAGACAAGAGGAGAGAGAGGGGGGGCCTGCGTGGAGGGACGGGTTGAAGCACTATGTAATAGTGCGTTCAAAGCTCCTCTAGGAGGTCCTGGACCACGCCCGATTCCCCATCATTCGAACCTTTCTAGAAGGAAATTAGCTTTCCCACCGTTGTTCTTTCGGTAATCACAGGCCATGCTGAGACCCTCTTCCAAAAGGGGCAAATCACATCTTCCGTTGAACAGCCGAATCGCCTGGGGTTAGTCCGCGATGCCTCTTCGCGGCTGGTCAATCTGATTTTAGTCTTCTGTAGTAGGTGAAGTAGTTACTCTAGTACTCTAAAGCGAGATTAGCGATCGCTTCGCCCTGAAATTTCGTCCAAGGAAAGGCTGACAACAAATAAGAGGCAGCCATTTATTTTTTTTTTAATTCGCATTTGCATTTTCGGTTTCGTCCCGAACATGGCTTCCTGTTGGCGAGCTTGTGTAAAGAAGCTGAAGGATGTTCTTGCCCTGTCTGGGATTTTTGGGAGGGCGAAACTGGAGCAAAGCCACGCCATAGGGTGATGGTTGATGCCTGATCGGAGCCGGCGCTGGAGAGTTTTTCGCATTGTCGCACGATACTTTGAAGCATGCAGCCAGTCCGATCTGATCACCTGGTTTCCTATTTCCTCACCTGCTTTCTTTTTTCTCATTTGTCTTTGTCCTTCTTTTGGTTTCGGCTTATCCTCCGTGCTCTTACTTTTCCCCTCTCGATGGGCGCACCAGGGGCAGATAGAGGCCCCTTGAGAAAAGGGAAACTCCTGGGGTAGGTGCAGGAGTAGCTTCCGAACAGTGATGCAATATCCGTGGTCAGACTCCTGGGCCCAGTTACCAGCCACGATCGGGGACCTTGTTCCTCTCTTTTCTGCCTTGTACCAGTTTACGTTATATCACACACACCCCTCCTCCTCACTCATTTAGCGCAGAATGTGTCCCGTGGGATATTCTCTGGTTATCGCGTGTTCCTCCGAGTGGGCGGCTAAAAACCGTTGTTATCGGATGCGATTCCTTGTTCTTCTTCCATCACGTATCCTTCACAGCATGTCCCGAGGGAAGTGTGACGGGGAGGATGGAAGCAATGGAAGGTAATCGCCTGGCCCGCGGCACCAGAAAAAGAATAATATTGTCCTGATTCATTCAGATCGGCATCAACCCGCCGATACCCACCCAGCAGGAGCGATTCTCGCACGGCCAGGGAGAGACGGGGAAAGCCACGTTGTGGAGCCGAGCGCTGACGGTGACCTTCTGGTGCCGCCAGCTTCTTCGGGCGAGTTGAGTTCACTGGAGCCACTTGGGGCCTGTGGTGGAAACGTGCAAAGCTGTAGTGGTACTTAGAGTCGTGGTAGCCTCCGTGAACTAAAAGCGTAGTGCAGTTAGTCTAGTAGCAGGAAGTAGTCAGTAGTAAGTAGGTAGTAAGTCTGGGACTGAACTAGTCAAGAAGAAGTCGTCAGTGAAATTATAATAATAAGATTAATATTATTATTTTAGGTATTTTAGTATTTTGGGTATTTATTATTTTCCTTTTTTTTTTATTATTCTGATTTTATTTTACCGCCACTACTGTTGGAAAAGGAAAAGGAAGGACCTCCAGCTATACTAATTATAATAACATTTAATTTTAACTAACCTGCCAGACCAAGTGGTGATGGTCGGAAGGAGAAGAGAGGAGCACATCCAATCCTCACTAATAAGACGAACGGGTGAGGCACGCACACCGTATGGAGACCTTGGATCACACTAGAAGGAGTAGAAGAAGTTATTTTAACTGGATCTATAAGAAAACGAGCAGCCACCTGCTGTTGGGCTGCTTTTCGCCCATTAATATTCACCTGCAGCCCCCGAATCCCCCCGGTTGATTGATTGATTGATTGATTGATTGCTGGACTGATTTGAGTATTTATGATTATTATTATTATTATTATTATTATTATTTTATCCTGATTTTATTTTACTCACTTACTCCTCTGACTCTACCTATTACTGTTCCTGTTTTACCGACCAAAAACAATCCCCATCCATCCATCAGCATCCAGAGATTATTCTTCCATTAATTATTCACTGATTCTTTCCCCCATCACTCACCTCTCTCTCACCTTACAAATTCCCTCCCCTTCATCTAATTTGATTTTTTTCTCTCTTCCGGTTTGTACCAAGAAAGAAGAAGTCAAACTTACCTCTTTATTTTTGTTCTTTATAATTCCTTTTTGACTTTTTTTTTTTTTAATTCCTCATCCTTTCTTGTCTACCTCCCTGTCAAACCTCCTTGCTTTTCCCTTTTATTTTTCCCACAGCACACACGCACAGAGACAGACAGACTTTCCCCGTCATCCTGCTGGGTGCATTTGCTTTTCCGCCTCTTGCATCGGTTCGCCACGGCCGTGTGGTTCTCGAGGAATTTCCCTCCCCTCTTACCTTACTATTGCTTCTCCCGTCAGAATAACCCCGAGAAGCTCCGTCGAACAGGCCTCTTCTTCTTCTTCCCCATTGCTGGCTGTTTTAACTCTTCGGAACCCCCCATTTTCTTTCCGTCGATCCCCTCCTTCCGCGCGCAACATAACAACAACACTTTGGGTCTTCCCAGACCGTGTCCATCTTGACCGCGTTTCACCTGAAAGCTGTCACTTCTTTCCTCGGTCTCTGTAAGTACCTCTTTCTTGGCTGCTTTGGTGCTTTCCACACCGCAGCTCCCCCCGCGGCTGCTTGGTTTCCCTTCCCCCTCTCCTCCGATTTCCCCCCCCCCCCAGTCAATGATGACTGCCTTCCCTCGCTGCATGTGGATGGATATGAGCGCCTGCAGGTCACGTCTCTGTGCGAACCAGCGTCTTATTTGTCGCATTTCCTGGTTTCTGAACCTGCGCGCAATGCCGTCCATTGAGCGGGCTCGGACTGGAGATTTTTCTCACCACCTGTTTTGGTGGGAAGAAAAAAAGGAATTTGAGACACTGGACAGGCCGCGCACAAGGCACCTTTCTCTCACTTGATTCTTTCAGGTTGCGCGCAGTTTACTAATCTTCTACTGTGCCTCCCTTCAGATCTCATCCATAAGACCACCGTTCGAGTCCGATTAATTTACGTCCTGCCCGTTTACCCCTCCTCCGGAGACGCTGAGCTTTTCTCCTGGGATTTCCCGCTGAAACACTTCGACGGCGCGCACATTCACTTCCTGCGATCGCATACATACTCCAAGTGAATCCGGACTTTGTCGCAAATTCGCGTGCAAGCCGTAGCGACACTTCGGTGATTACAGTCTCGCGTGTTCCATCGACCGATCCGAGATTCGTCGAATTTACACCGGTGATTTCAAGCCACTTCCCTTCGATTACTGCTGGATAAGTTTCGCTGCAGCTATCCGTGGAGGTCAGAATTAGGATCTTGGTCTTTGCTGGGTCAGTTCCGAATCTACTGTTACAAGACAACTGCGGAAGTTCCGATTCGTGAAGCGCCCGTTCTCTCAACACCTCGGATTCTGTTCCTAGAAGCCAAACCTCGCCAGTCAGTGTCTGGGCACTCGGCGAAACCAAGAACCTCATCCGCGCTGTCATTCGCTGCCCAGCCGTGAGTCTACTGCACAGATTGGGTTGACAACTCGCCCTTGTCCTCACATTCTTGATTACGAGAAATCCGTGATCCCGGTCACCTTCGCCCACGTCACACCTTGTCAGGACAGACAGTCCTTGATCTACGGGTAGCGCAAAGCAAGGTGAGTTTTATAGTTATTTATTTCCGTTTATCCCGGCAAATTATCTGTCCATGACGTCTGTTTGCTTTCGACCGTGTTCGGTCTGGAGTTGGTGGAGCAGTCGCGGTCTTTCTGCCAGCGTGTTGCCTGATTGTTGGGAGTGGTTACTCCCTTATGCAAGCCACGGCCGCCCTGTTTGTTGGTATCACAATTGTTTTTCATTGCACTTTACCAGTGAAGCTAACTCGACACCTGCCTCAGCCACTCAACAGCCTTCGATCAGCGCCGTGGAGTCATTCTGCGGCTACGCGTCAGACGGGCTACCGTGAAATCCTTCGACCGTCCTTGACTACCGTCCCTCAGCTCTTCGCGGGGTCGGGTCATGGACATCACAACTATTTTGAATAGAAAAGGTTCTGCCGCCATGGTTGCCGCAGACGGACAATTTGATCATCAGCATTTGGTACCGAATCCTGGGCTCGACACGTCATCGCCTAAAATGAAGTCGGAACCTGGTGTCTCCGACGCTGGTGATCAAGCTGTCCTTGCATACCCCCCTCATGGTCCGCTCGGCCAGGTGCCGAACATGGCCCATGATATGCGCTATGCGCACCAGGCACACCCGGGGCCGGGGCTGCCCCTATTGCAGAATCCTTTTGTTCCTGGAGCCTATGCCGGTGGTGCTCAAATACCGAACGCCGGTGCTCCTCAAGGGAGGCCGGATCCTCCTCCCAAAACTTTCCACTGCGGTACTTGCGGTAAAGGATTCGCCCGCCGCAGTGACCTTGCAAGGCACGGTAAGCATTCTTCACGAACCCGTAGGGAAACAGTCAGCTAACTCGCATAGAACGTATTCACTCCGGTATCAGGCCTCATGCTTGTGACTGGCCCGGCTGTGGCAAACAATTCATCCAACGTTCAGCTCTGACAGTACACTCCCGAGTCCACACTGGAGAGAAGCCTCATATGTGTGAGAGATGTGGCAAGGTATGTACATGCTTTTTGGCTGGTTTTCGAGCAGGACTAACCGACTTGTAGCCTTTCAGTGATTCGTCCTCTTTGGCGCGACACCGCAGAATCCACTCTGGGAAGCGTCCCTACAAGTGCCCCTACGCGAACTGCCAGAAGACATTCACTCGCCGCACTACCTTGACACGCCACCAGAACCACCACACGGGCACAATCGAGGAAGCTGCTGCTGAAACCGAGGCCAATCTGAGGCAGAACAAGGAGAGAGCGAGAATGCCTGGTGACATGTTCTCCGACCACGGCTCTGTCCATTCCACTCCCTCTCCGGCACACCACCCTATTTCCCCAGCTGGCGACCTTCCCCCTTTGAATATGCCTCGCTCCGACTACTACATGCCGAACGGATCGATTCCGCCCCATGTTCGCGGCGGTTTCACGCAGGCCAGTCCCCGGGCTTCCCCGACCGCCACGTCCCCATCGTTGTCCAGTTATGGTAGCGCTCCGCACCCCCGTCCCTCGATGACTTCCCATCCGTCTGGATACGGTCCTCCGCAGCCTCTTGAGCCGCCCGCCAACAACGACCACCGGCCCAATAGCGTTAGCGGAAGCCCGCACATGACCAGCCTCGGTTGGCCTTCCCCTTCGCATGCCAGCATCCCGTCGCCTGGCTCGGCAACCGACTTCTATCCCGAAACTAGCGGGCCCGCGTATCCGAGCGCCATGCCCCCTCACATGTACTTCCCCAACTCGACCATTCGGCGGCCTACGAGCACTGAACCGGATGGCTATGATCTGAAGCACAAGATGGAGAGCGCCTGGTCGACTCCGGTCTAAATATGGGTAGTGGACTAAACTCTCCAGCAGACGGCAGGGCCGCTGATGGAGAGTTGCTATCCTACTACGCCATTGAGCATAACGTCTAGTATACTCTGAAGATGCTAGCCGGATATAAGTTATTTCCTTTGTTAATTTCTGTTTATTTCCTTTGTTATATCGTTCTGTTCCAGCATTGTTCATTCCTCGTGTTCTACATCATGGCATACATCTTTTGGATATTTGATATACCGTCATCTTTGCATTTCCCAGTGTGGGTCACCAGCGCTGGAAGGAGTCCGGGCTAGCTGATTTGTCGCGTGCGCAGGATCCGAGTTGTCCGCTCTGTTCCATTCTGTTATTCCTTTTGTGTCTAATGTGCGATACGACCACCAGGACGAAGCATAAAATATAGAGAGGTGGAAAAGGTGTCATGGCTCGGTCGGAATGGGGTTTGGGAATTCGGGGTCTTGGTCTGGTTTATGCTTATTATTCCATCATCATCATCATCATCTGTGCATATGTTCTATACCTATTCTTTTCTCCTCTTGTACCCCCCGCATCATCGTGTTCTATTCGTTGTTTCCTTATTTTCCTTTGTGTGATAATCGGTTAACGGCCTCTTACCCTTATTACTTATTACCCAGGTGTAGATGAACCTGTTCCTTGTCATGTATGATAGACTTAACCACTACTACCATAGTATACTACTTACACTACTAAATGTACATCGATCGATCGTTACTGAAGATGCACTCACTCACTGCAGTAGACATTCCAGCAGAAGAACAAAAAAAAAAGAAAAAGAAAAAGAAAAGAAAAAGAAAAGAAAAATTTCTCTCGGAACCACCTTCCATTCTCTCACCTGATTGACACGAACTAAATATCGTGACCTACTTATTCCTACCCTACATCCGAGCCCTCATCAACTAGAGCTCAAGAGCTCATTTAACCTGAAACACCCACTAGCAAGGTTCTTCCCGGTTGATGACGTACCTCCCTAAGTAGCTGCCTCGTCTCGGCTCGGGCTATGAGCTCATAGATGCCTTAGGCTTGCATATTGTTATTCATTCATTTCTGGCCTTAGGCATAAAGTGAGATATGTAGATGGAGATATCTCTGCCTGAGGTTAGGAGAGGATACTGCCATGCAGCACCGCCTATTTTTCGTAACAGAATCTAGATGGGTTTTTGGGAGCTTGGATGATGTCCATGGATGGATGGGTAGGTGTCTTTGGGGGGATGTGTATTGGGGTGGGGGGGTAGAGTAGACTGTTTATGTGGTTATCTGGTTGGGGTAGTTTGGTTGTTGGTAGTTGATTGATCGATTGATTAGAGTAAGTTTAATAGGTACAGTGAAGGAGATATATCCAGTCTCTCTTTTAGCTAATCTGACTTAATTGAATGACTGAAGGGATGACGTCGCTTGAAAGTGGAAGTATGAAATGAGTATGTGGATTGCGTATGCTTACGAGTTGCCGTATGGGACAGTAAAGGGATGAAGTACTTGGTGGTGGTTTGATCAAGCCTGCTATTGTGAATGTAATTGTAATGTGTGGTGAGAAAGTGTGAGTATTAAGTATGTAGGGTATGGTATAATCAATACGGCAAGCCGGTGGTATTCAATGCTCCCATGCCTGCTGGAACTCCGGGAACAGCAGGGGCTGGACATGAGCATACGGGTGCGGGTGATGTATGTCCGAGGGCTCGGGAGAGGATGGTAGTGATTGTTGAGGATGCGCCGTTCTCGCGGGCGGAGAGGAGGCCGAAGCGGAGGAAGACTTCGGAGGTGGTGACGAGGATGGAGATGATGATGAGGACGATGATGATCCAGGTTTGGTCTGTGTATGTTAGCTTGTGTGTTGAATGTCATGATAGGGGATTGCATACGCGAGGTTCTGTTGTCGGCGATCGAATCAGAGAGGATTTCAGCCAGATCGAGGAAGACACGGCAGCGTTCATTGAGGACTTGGATTCGGGGCTTGATCTCGAGGTATTCGCGAACGGCAATGTAGAGTGGGTAGAGAGTAGGCTCGCTTTCCCAGAAGAAGTTGGGGACGTCGAGCATATTGGACGCTATAGAAATTAGAAAATTGACCAGCTTATGGTTCGAGGGTGTCACTTACAGAGGTTCACTTCCACACGACTCTTGAACAGACTTCCTAGAATCCGGAATACTTCATCTCGCTTCATTCCGAGATTGCCAGTCATGGCGAGTCGGCGAGGAACGTCCTTGGCCTCGGCCATCTGGCGAGCCATAACTTCCTCAAAGAAGCAGAGCTTGGTACTTTGAGCGATGCCATGACTGATAGCCAGCTTGATCATGTGGTCACCACTGCGCAGAGTGATCATGTCGTTGTAGACACGCGGACGTTTGATTTCAGTCGAATACTCGAAATGGAATTCCTCTGTTTCAAAGTCCTCCTCTTGCAATGGCATGGTAGCCAGTGGAATAGGTGATCCCGTTGCGGACGACGTCGCAAACGCCAAATCAGCCAGAAGATCCTTCTCTTGCTTCTCGGTGAAATTCCAAAACACGACAACTCCGTAGCTGAAGACAAACATCTCCGCCACATTATATGATAGCCTCGACGACGCCGTTGAGCCAGCAGTCGGACCCGGCTGGCTTTGGCCCGTACCTTGACCAAACTGTTCCCTCGAGCCAGAACCAGCATGATCCTCTTCACCAGCTTGATGCGATTCATGCGGGTGCGGACCATGCTCATGACGCCCCCCAAACACCGAATGCTCCTCTGCCTCCGGCATATAATCCTCATGATGATCTCGCAGCTCATTCCGCTCAATCTCCTCATCAAGCAGCGACTTGCCACCCGGCTTCTTCAACACCGGACTACTCCTCAACCTATACCCTTCATGCCCAGGCAACAACGGCAAATGATACGCTGTATACAGACAATCATCATAGAGCTTCGTCTTTCCGCCATGCCTCTCCTTCACAAACGATGCCAACGAGCTCATCTTATAAGCTTGCGCCGTACAATACGCCGTCACTCTGGCCAACTTCTCCGCACGCCGGGCCTTCGGCAACCTCTCCGCATAACTCTTCGCCTTCTCCGGAGCGACCTTCCTCCTCTTCATCAACTCCTCCTCCGCCAACAACGGCGCGATCTCATTATCGACGCCGAAATCCCCATCGAGCTTCTTCTGCGCCAGTAATGTCTGCCTCACCGAATCCGGGTCAAGATTCTTATCCTTCGCGATCTTCTGCACGAACTCCTCGTCCACCGTCTCCTCATCCTCCTCTTCTCCTTCCTCTTCTTCCTCGCGCAATTCGTCCCCGGCCTCCGGCAGAAGCACCAGCTTCTCACTGACTTTGGTTGTACGAGGGGGCAGTCGCGGCTGCGCTGCAAGTCGCTTCATGCTCGCTGCTGTGCTGACCGCACTGCTTCCTCCGGTGGAGGAGCCCGCTCCGCCAGCACCGATTAAGCCGCCCGCGGCGGAAGCGAGACGGGAGCGCGGCCGCGCCCGAACGCCGCCTTGGGGTGGATGGCGCTGCTGCATGGAGGGGACGTCGGAGGTGTATTGGAGGACATTGTCGACAGTGATGAAACGGGTTGCGGGGGAGCGGCGACGACGGGGTTGAGTGGTTTGTTGGTCTCGGGAGTCGGTCACCTGGATGATGATGGGCGTGGTTAGTTTAATTCTTGGTATAGATTGCGCCGGAGTGAGGGGGGGAGGCAGGGGGGTAATGGATGCTCACCAGGACATGAGGACTCCTTTGGCTTGGACCACGCCCTCTTGCAGGGGTCATGGCTGATATACTGCTTTTTGTTTAGGTTGATAAGTTTGTAGCGGTGATAGTATGGACGGCAATTGATAAGCGACAGACAGCAAGGGTCGAATCGGACGGATTAACGTCACCAAGCTGTGTCTGGCTTATCCGGTCGGTCGGGGAAAGATCTAGATTGGGATTCGCCGTTTGTGGTCACCCACACGGTGGGCTTGAGAGTGATGGGCGGGGTTGTGTTATGTTAGTCGCATCACAGGATCATTGAACTGGATATGGAGGCCATGGGATTAGGATGGAAAGAGAGCATGATGGAGGGAGAAAGATTCAAGGTCAATTGAGTATCCAAGCTCTGCTCTGGTCGCTGTCCACCGCCCTGCAAATGGGCCCGGCCGTAAACCCGATTGGGATGGACCCGATTGGGCATGGCGGGAACAGTTGACCATATATAGAGTGGACGGGAGCTTTGTAGCTTTGTAGGACAGGGAGTGTATGAATTGAGGCAAATTGACAGAATATCATAGACAATGAGTAGATAGCATAGAATGGTATCTGGGCCTTATATTTACATTCTGCAAATGCCTGTAATCTACACACCAGTATTTAGTATCTACCTGAACACTCAACTATACTGACACCGAGCTCATCTACTCAAGAGAGCAGAAACTGAATACACTAGAATCCATTCAGTTGGTTCTGTTATAGTAATACAAGCCTAGTAATAACTAACATGAATAAAAAATAAAGCTGAAAGAAAGTCCTCCCTATCCTCACATATAATACTCACCCACCAATCCCCTCCCAACTACAACCCAAATATATTTCCAAACCCAGCCAAATAAATCACCCTTCAAAACCACCACAAACCACAAATAACCATGCAAACCAACCATCACAATTATCCATCATAATAAATGTAAACAAAACCAACACCCGGAGTAGCATAAGAATAAGTACGAGAATGACATCATCCCACTTACCCCAACTCATTCGCCCGTAAAATACCCCACGTTCCAATACATACCAATACATACATACATACCCACCTCCGTAAGGTATCCAAGTATAGTACAGTAGTAGCACGTAGCGTATCCCTACCTATTCGGGACCAATCGGCCACTCCAGCCACGTGCCGATAGTGGGGTGAGTAAGTACTTATTCGGTAGTGAGGAGGAGGAGCTGAGGTGGAGGATGGGAAGGAAGGAAGGGGGAGGGAGGGGAGTTTCCTTTCCCCGTCCTTTCCATCCATCCATCTTTCTCTCACCACCCTCCGATTCATACTCCGATCCTGATATGGTTTAGTAGTAGTATCTGTCATATGTAACTGTACACGGTAAGTGTTTCCCTGACAGGTACTAAGTAGTAACAGTATCTTGTGTCGGTGATTGATGGGTGGGTGATGATGATCCGGGGTATAATAATAATACTACTCTCACTCATTGGTTCATGTTACTTGCTTCGTGCGTGTGGATGATTTTCATGTGTGATCGGACTGGATGATTGACCGATTGACATGCTGATCATGTGTAATACCGATCAATGCTATAGGTGTTATTCGACTACATGAGAACTGCATTATATGAATAGTGAATAGAAGAGTGTTTAGAATACCATACAATGTAAGCCACTCTGCCAGAGTAAAGTAATGTACGAAGTAGGGAGATGACTCTTTTTGTTTGGTTTCGGGTGTATGGCGGGGTATTATCGACCAGATTGGGCTGGAATCTGAACCCGAGGACCTAATCGGGCAAGGAAACATGAGTGAAAAAGAGGCAGCAGCCACATGAGGGGCACGACGGACGGACGGTTCGTGTTGCAGGGCACTTTTTGCGGAGTATCGGAACAGACTGGAAGAATGAGGGAAAAAAGAGTGCGGGAATCGCTTCCGTCGGGCCATGATTCCTAGTCTACTTCTTACTACTAACCTGCTATTGCAGTTGAACTAGCTTTTGCTTACTGTAGGAACGGAGGCGACAGGAATGAAGATGGTGTATGAATCTTGTCTTTCATTGGTCTCTAGTTTCATGTCCGTCTCCCGGTATCGAATACTCCTTGCAGCGTCCTTGCTTCTTGCCCTCCATGACAGTCCGGCCTCTAATATGTACCCATTCCCATTACATGCATGCTCTTTGTCAGCGTGATAAGATGCAATAATATGCCAATCAACAAAGGAAATGATAAGGAAATTAACCAGATAGAAAAGGAAAAAAAAATATCAAGCATCAGCAACATCCACCTGGCCCCATAAAACGCCTCGAAGCACTTTTTCTGTTATCCGGCTTCGTCATGCTAAACAAAACAGACACAATGGTAGTCGAAAAGGAGCAACATCGTGGAATAATAACAGGAACCCCGTTCTGTCAATGTCCGGGACCAGACACCATAATAAACAAGGGTCAAGAAATAGATAAGGAATAAATTCATGCAAATGCCATGTTCTGTCGTTAGAGCCCACCTCGGAGCTGCTGATGTTCGGCCCATATCTCCTCCTTCATCCGCCGCAGACTCGTGTGCTGCCTCTGGAGCTTCTCCAAGTCGGCTCGCGACGGATTTTGCTGAGAGGCCAGTGCGTCATGTAAGGCGTGGTACTTGGCGTAGAACCGCTTGAACTTCTTGGACTTGTCGTGCAACTCCTGGATGGTAATTTCGCGGCGGAGGGGCGGCGAGGCGCTTCCAGTACTGCCACTGGACGTGCTCACGGCTCGCCGCCGTTTGTGTTCCAGATCCCCCGCAATACGTCCGGGAACTTGAGCTAGCGCTGCAGGCCGCTCAAGTTCCGCCTTGCGCTTCAGGGGATTGGTCACGGTAGCTGGTCTGGATACACCATTGGTCTTGACCACTTTTCTCACAGTGGGCGCGCTCGCAACAGGCCTGGGCTTGTTGACCTGGGTTATGAGGGGCGATGATGACGAGGAACTTGAAGAATTGTTTTGGCTTGAAGAACGACTGCGATTTTGGATATCAGAGGCGTTGGTGGGGGGCGAGGACCCGAGGGGCGACGGTTTTTGAGGGGACTTCTGAGGGGACTTTTGCGCAGGAGGTCGCGAGGAAGGAGGCCTCTTTGCAGCCATAGGCCGATGTGACGCTTGGTCGATCGGCTCCGATTTAGGTGTAGCTTCTGGTTGCTCCACCTTCGGGGTAGGCGCATGAGAGGGTTCCCTGGGAGGGCTGGGCTTCTGCAGTTTAGTCTGCGGCTTAGGTTCAGCCTTTGCCTTTGCAGGCTGTGGCTTCTCAGTTGACGATGCATCTGGCAGGTCGGTGTCGTCCTCATCCGAGTCATGAACGAATTCCGCCGACTTGAACTTGCCCTCCGGTTGTTTCGCGGTCGTCTTCCGCTCCGCCTTCTTGGTGACGCGTCCCGTCAAGGTACTGTTACCCGCAACCTTGCTCTTTGCGGCAGTCCGTTTCGCACCGGTATCCTTGTCGCCGGGCCGTTTCTTCTGCGCGACCGTCCCATATCTGGGAGCTGACGTCGGCTCACTGGTCCTTGGTGTTAGACCATTCCCACTAGCCTTGTCGGTCTCCTGACCCGTAGTGTAACCGTCCTTGCTATTGTCATCAGATGTTTGTACTTGTATCCGAGGTGTCGCAGCTTTCTTGATGGGGCCCGTCCGCAAGTCCAGGCGCGATAAGCACTTGCCCTTTCCGCGTTCTTCCTTGGGAAGAAGCATCTGCCAGAGCTTGTCGGACCGGGAAATTCGCAGGCGATCGAATGCAGAGATGGCATTCTCAATTGCCTCCTGCCGATCTTCCTGGGAGGGATAGGGAAATTTCCACACATCAAGCTCTCGATAGGTCTTATCTTTGAGATCGAACTTCTCCGGATTGATTCGGTTTTCGATGCCATATTTCCGAGCCAGAGTCTCGCAGTCTTCGAGGGACGCGCGGGTTTGTCGCGCGAGGAATTTGGCGGAAACTGCCCGGACGGCGAGAAGGTGAATGAAGGGCACTTTGAGAGCTTCAAGGCGAATGCGATCTTTGTTTTGAGAAAGCGGAGCGGAGGTAGGTGTAAGCGGAGGTATAGATGCAGGTGATCGAGCAACTCCCAGAGCCGGGCTCGAGGAAACGGAGCGATTGGCATTAAGCAGTCGATCCTTTTCCAGCTCCACCTTGCTTGCCGGAGCACGACCCAGACGAGCAGTCTGTTTTCCAGTGCCATGTCTGTCGCCTGCCTGCAAAGCCCTCACTTCATCAATGCTTGTGATTATAGCGGTCTTCTTCGACTCTTTTCCTCTTTCAAAGGCATTCAGGCTTTGCTCCAAATCGGCCAATGCCTTATCGGCACTCGCGGTATCCTCCTTTGCCTTCTGGACCTCCAAGCTATGGCTCAAAACCCCGCTGAAATATAGGTTTTCCTTGTCCGTAGAGCTGCCGCTATATAGCTCTGATCGACACGTCTCGGGGAGGGGATGGAATTGTTGGGATTTGGAGCCGTAGTAGAGAGTCGCATGTTTCCCCAGACGAACTCGAGCAGACTGATCGTTCCGGAGGCTCTGGATCAGCTCATCAAGAGTATCCTGAGCTAGATTCAGCCGCATAATCTGAACGGGCTTGGTGGTAGCATCATTGCCGTGGTTGTCTCGGCAGAGAGACAACCCGGAATCGGGGACCTCGAGAGCCGGCATGAGGTAGGTTGCAGAGGAACAATGTAGAGAAATTCGGAGATGTCGAAGTAGAGGGAGGGAGGAAGAGGGCGAAAAACGTCCGAGTCGATCGGAGACGAGGAATTGGGAGGAGGAGAGGATTCGAGATTCGAAATACAGACGGCTGGCAGCGTGGAAGCTGCAGGTCAGCGGCCGAATGCACGGAAAGGCGTGTTAAGACAATACGCCATAAGATCAAGCAACGGTACTCAGAAAAGTGAGGGAGAGGAAGTCTGCATAAGAGGAAGCAAACGAAGAGTGAAAGCCAACAAGACCCATGGCAAGAAGGGTGGTCTTGAAGGTGTCGGAGAGTGAAGAGGGAGAGTGAGGGTGAATGGGTGTGTGGGAGGAAGAGAAAGAAAGAGAGGCGGAGAGGGAAGAAGGAAGAGGGGAGGGTGAGGGGAAGAGAAAGAGAGGGAAGGGGAAGGGGAAGGATGAGATGAGATGATGCCAAAGGAACGGGGGGATGCGAGTGTAAGGCGGCCTTGGAGCGGAGAGTGCCAGTCGGGACTCAAGACCAAGAGGCGTGAGTATTGAGGTATTGAGTGGGGAGGAGCGGTATGGTATCGTTCAGGGTACCTTGCTCGTTTTGGTTCCAGAGTCCTGTAAAGTAGGGTGTCAAAAAAGGTTAA